CCATTAAACTGATGAGAATTAATTTTATTAGCATGTCTTTCTTTTCCGTATCAAATGGTAAGCCAACAGAAATGCATGGCTAAGTTTTTGCACAAACAGCGAGAAATGCGGTTGTGCATTGTGCGTTCTGCCCTAAAAATACCAAACAGTGAGATCCATCACTTCATTTTGAGGATGGCAAGTATATAAACAATCCTTAGTCTGGTTGCTCAGTATAAGCGATCAAAGGGCGCGGCAAAATTTGCCTCACGATTCCCCCCATGTAGCAAGACCAGAGACTATCCCCCCCCTAGAAAAACAAAAATATCTGTATCTTAGACTGTATATTTTTGTATATCAGAAGTAAACAGAAGATGGCAGGAGGTGGTTTTGTCTCTCAAGGTGGTGCAGGAAACTATGAGGGCAAGGTGACATGCTTTGTAATTATGACATGTTTGGTTGCTGCCAGTGGTGGTCTCCTTTTTGGTTATGACATTGGTATCTCAGGTAGGCAAGGCACCATTTGGATTGAGGGAATGGAAGGGAAAGGAAATGAGTGGAATCGGATCGATTTCATTTTTGTTGGGAAAGGATTTAATTGTTTTGTTGAGTAATGGTTTCTACTCAAAAATGAGCGAAAACAGAGAAAAATGAAACTGAATTAATTTAAATAATTTAAATTTTTTAAAAGATTAATTTTCCCTATATTTTCTAATAAATTAACACCTGATATGTTCTCTATTTTCTTTTCCTTCTTAATTCAAACAAAATTTCAGTATTTTTTTTCTTTTCCCTTCATATTTAATCCAATCAAAATGGATGAAATCACTTTCCCATACTCTCCTGTCCTTTCTTTTCTATTAGTCTCCTTTCCCCTACTCTCCCGTCCTTTCTTTTCTATTAGTATCCTTTCCTTTCCTTTTCCTTCCTTTCTTTTAATTCAAAAAGTGTCCAAATGATTGTGTTTCTTTACTTCTGTAGATACCAAAATTAAGGTCCGTATGGAAGGAATATGGATAGTTTTTCTCAAGAAACGCATAACTGTGTCGTAAGCACATTCATATGTGAAATTATTCTAACAATAACACTTTTATTTTATCTATTTCGTATTTCAAGCCCAATCATATGTGGGATTATTCTAACATTAACACTTTCATTTTATCTATTCATACATCAAGCACATTTATATGTGGGATTATTCTAAAAATATAACTGTAACACTTTTATTTTGTCTATTCATATTTCAACCACGATCATATAGGGAATTATTCTAACTGTAGCACTTCTATTTTGTGGGATTATTTTGTCTATTTGTACGTATGAGTTTCACAAAAATATAACTGTAACACTTTTATTTTGTCTATTCGAATTTCAAACACAATCACATGCGGGACTATTCTAATATTTCTTTCTTTCCTTATTTCTTTTCTTCCTTTTTTTAAAAAAATTTGCAGGAGGGGTTACGTCAATGGATGAGTTCTTGCAAAAGTTCTTTCCGGAGGTGTATAAAAAGGAAAAGAACCTTAGTGGAAATACTAGCAACTATTGCAAATTTGACAGTGCAGTTCTGACACTTTTCACCTCTTCCCTTTACTTAGCAGCCCTGGTTGCCTCCTTCTTTGCTTCTGCAACAACAAAAGCATTGGGAAGAAAGGCCTCCATGGTAATTGGAGGTCTAGTATTTCTTATAGGTGCAATCATCAATGGAGCTGCCATGAATGTTGCAATGCTCATCATTGGTCGTCTCTTGCTCGGTGTAGGCGTTGGATATGCTAACCAGATTTTCTTTCTCTACTGATCACTCTCATGAGTTCCTAGATTCTTTCACAATTCACAAAAAAAAGGTAAAAAAATGGACTGTAGTTATAAATCATTCATATTGCAGGCAGTTCCAGTTTACCTATCAGAAATGGCGCCCGCGAAGATCAGGGGTGCACTCAACATTGGTTTCCAAATGGCTGTAACAATAGGAATTTTCGGAGCCAATTTGGTGAACTACGCAACATCAAAGATGCAGCACAATGGATGGAGATTTTCTCTGGGTGGGGCAATGGTCCCTGCTATTATCATGACCGTCGGATCTCTCTTCTTACCAGACACTCCCAATTCCCTGATTGAGAGAGGCAAGAAAGATGAAGCAAGGCAAATGTTGAAGAAAATCCGTGGAACCGAGAATGTGGATGAGGAATACAACGATCTTGTGGTGGCAAGTGAAGCTTCAAACCAAGTCCAGCAACCATGGAAGGATATCTTGGACAGGAAACATAGGCCTCATCTGGTCATTGTTTCCCTCATTCCATTTTTCCAGCAACTCACTGGCATCAATGTGATCATGTTTTATGCCCCTGTTCTTTTTAAGACTCTTGGCTTTGGTGATGAAGCTTCCCTCGTTAGTGCTGTGGTCTCTGGTCTGGTGAATGTCTTCGCCACTGTGGTGTCAATCATCAGTGTTGATAGGTTTGGGAGAAGGGCATTGTTCTTGGAAGGTGGAATCCAAATGATCCTTTCCCAGGTAAGGCATTATCTCCCAATTGGATTAGTTATTCTTGACATTCATACATATTCACGACTATACATATACCCTTTATACGAGCTATTGGACACGTATTGTTAGAAATAGGAATGGGACAGGCTTAGTTGGATTTTGTCCGGTTATGTTCAGTTGGTGTATCGTTTGCATGATTTGGTACACACTCGTATATATGTGTAAACTATGGTCCTGCACACTAGGAACGGAATAGGTCTAAGCTAGGCTTTATCTCAGGCTGAACTCGAGATGTGTACTGAATCCCATAAACAATGCATCAATCAACACAATTGACCAAAACTCAACTGGACATACCCCAATCCTGAGGATTTAAGCCATATCACCTTTTGCTATAAATTTTGCAAAAGCTGATTGCGATTGTGAAGAGCAATTATTAAGAAAATCAGAATCAGCTAAAATTACTTTAGAAAACTCTAAAATATAAATACAAAAGCGCACATAACATTAAAAAAAAAAAACTGATTACTCAAAATCAAAAGCTGTATCCTTACTTGGCTTGATTCTGAAACATGATCTACAGGTAAATGAGCCCATAGCACGAGTTTAACAATCACTCTTTCAAGTCTTTTCATGCATTGAAACTAATATCCTGACTCCTGACACCTGATCTTGTTCTTGTAGTTGGGCGTTGGAATTCTGATTGCCAAAGTTTTCGGAGTATCTGGGGAGGGAACCTTCACCAAAACTCAAGGCGATATTGCACTGTTCTTGATCTGTGTGTACGTTGCTGCATTTGCATGGTCTTGGGGACCTTTGGGGTGGTTGGTGCCTAGTGAAATCTTTCCCCTCGAAATCCGATCAGCCGGGCAATCCATCAATGTTTCTGTAAACATGTTCTTCACATTCATAATCGGACAGCTCTTCCTAACTATGCTTTGCCACTTGAAATTTGGCCTCTTCTTCTTCTTCGGCGGATTTGTGATCCTGATGACTTTGTTCGTCTATTTCTTCTTGCCTGAGACCAAGAATGTGCCAATTGAAGAAATGAATAGAGTCTGGAAGGCTCACTGGTTCTGGGGAAAGTATATCCCAGATGATGCTGTTGGCCTTGGCCATCAGCCAAAATCAATCGAATTTTGAGGGGGGAATTCATGTATCAACTGCATGAACGCAGAGTTATGCAGTTGAAGTTTTCCAACGAAAACTAGTTTGATATACGAGAAAAAGTTTATTGAGAAACGGATTCATATGAATTTTCTCTTTTTTTTTTTTTCTTTTTCGAAAAAATCCAAATATCTGGATTTATATCACCATAGCATGATTAAGAAATTATAAACAATGATTTATATCACCATATCTGGATTTTTTTTCTCTATTTGGTTAGCCTGATTTGCGAAAAAATATTTCCAAATATTATTTAGTTTACATCATAAATACAATTTTCAACCACTTTTTTTTATCTCAAATATATCACATAGTGTTATCTCAAATAATTTGTTTAAATAATCTCCCATCCCTCTTCTCTGTATGGATTGGAATAAAATTTGTAATGCAGAGCAAACCAAATTGCCAATGGAATACATTTCTAATACTACGTAAACATACAATATATTGTATGTGTCAATCAATACGTCAAAACTCCTACGACAAATATTTACTTCTATGATTATCTGGCATCACTAAACATCAATGTTGAAGCTAAAATTTAAAAGTGAAACATTCTGAAAACTCGATGGACCTGATCAAAAAATAAAGAAAAACCTAAAGGAAATTTGATAACAAAGGCAAAGAAAATCTTCTGCTCTATTTCTCAAGGGAAGAAAAGACGAGCCCTGGCAACCGCTTACCTTACACAAGAATGAAAGAGGATGGAGCAAACTGAAATTGCCCTTCAAGAGACTCGTCAACAAAAAAGACCAAAAACAACAAACGTACTCCAACTTGACTATGGATCAAAGAGTCTGAAAATCCCATGTGACCATTGATTGAAAAACAACCAATGAAACTTACACCTTATCACCAAATATTAAAAGCATGGACTTGATTTAATTTTCTTCTACAGAAATTACATCTAGTATTAACCCATAAGAAAGACTAAAAGAAATAAACACATTGCACAACCTTGTTCAATGCCTATAGTTTGTAATGAAAATTGGAAAACTAGATCCAGTATGAGCCCGTTATAGTCTATGGATACCTAGAGACGGCAAAGAGCTTAAGACTTGTAAAAGCATAACAAAATAAATAAATAAGAACGAAAATTCAAGAAACCAAATCAAAGTCTGTAGCAGAAAAATGGAACTGGTCGTTCACCATAAGCCAACAAAGAATGGAGGAAAATGCCAAACATCATTCTAAAACACGAAAGTAAACTCAAAACAATCACAAGAGTATAAAAAGTTGAGCAAAGGAAAATAAGAGAAAATAAAATGTGCAATCAATACCGAGTTACCGGGCCAGGGTTCCCCCGTATCTGGATAAATTAATTTGGGACATGCCTGATGCGTATACAAACGACTATGACACCTAAAAATCATTCAAAAAATGAGTGATTCTTATTGCAGAAAGTCACTGGCACTATATCAATCTGAGTAGCCTTTTGAACCAACAGAAGTTACTGTTTACCAACCGCTATATAATTTGAGCCGCTATATAATTTGAGCTCATTCACACACAGCACGATGCATAAGATTTGACAGCATCAAGCCAAGGCAACAGGATGATTTTACATACATGGATATACAATTAATTCACCTTTGGTTAGATCCCATATAGTTTGCTACAAAAATAGCCCTACTTACAAATATTTCTTGCCATGTCATAAATTAAAGAACAATCAGCTGAAGATCATGAGACAGATACTGTCTCCAGAAGGCCGTCGACATACTCCTTGAGCTTTACTTTTGTTATTGCACCTTCCCTCCTGCTCTCTGGGACTTCCTTCCCATTTGTGAAGAGAATCAATGTTGGTAACCCATACACCTTGTATTCTTCAATAAGTCGAGGATTTGAATCATGGTCAATTTTCACAACCTTTAGTTTTTCATCATACTCCTAAGAAAACCCAAAAGCAACCATGAGATAGATATGAAAATTCAAAAATATTGTATAAACATTAAGCATCTTTGCTTCTTATATTACCTTTTTCATCTCTATAATAATTCAACCTTAAACTTCAGTACTAAAACTTTCCAAGAAAACAACAACCAGAAAGAATAAATGAAAAATTTAAGGAAAATAAAAGAAAAAACAAGGCATCTGGGTTATGCATTTATAAGTCCCCGAAATGCTATTCATCTAACTAAAAATATCCCTCACGATACATTTAGTCCTTTTGTTCATGAACTATATGCCAATATCGCAAACAGGTAGTCACATGTCAATCATATTATTAGTGCCCGGTAAAATTAGACGTCTGTCATACCACATGGAATTACCAGATTGGCTCCATCAATCAATATCTCAGTCATGAAGTTCCATAAAGCAGCACCAAACTAAATATGCAAGTCATATTTCAAACAAAATTATCAGCTCAAAAGTTTTACTTTCTGATGACAATCACAATTTAGTTTACCAATCTTACAATGATAGTAGAAACTTAATTCATTATGCTGTATGGAACAGATTCAATATTTTGATATAAGCATCGTAAGAAGGTACTTATCTAAACACAATATGAAACAACAATTCTGGGGCAATTCATCTAACAACCAAGGCCCTTGCTTGACAACGTAATTCAGCACTTAAAATTAATGGATGATTTTAACATGTTCAGGTGCATTTCATAATAAAAAATAGAGTATTTGAACTAATTAAGTGGCACTAAATTTTTGAGGCAAAACTTGCTCCCAAAAATAAATGATGAGCTATTCACTTATCACTTAATATGATATACACTCAAATATATCAGATTTAGTACTTAACAATTTAGTAACTTAAATAAATTCAATTTTCAATTTTCAAATTTCAAATTTTAATTTTTAGATTTCAATTTTATCAAACTCATCCTAAGAAGCTTTGCACGACCCTTATCCAGTATAGTATTTGTTTTCAAGACAAAACTCGAAAATGAGGTGAGTTCTATCCAAAATGTAAACAAGTACCAGAAGCAATGTGAATTGTTGACCAGGAAAAAGAACACAATAATACATATCTACAAAATACTTCCAAATATCCAGGATTCACTACACACTTAAAAGATTATGACATTTTAACATGCTTGAGGAAACCAAGATGTGTCTTCTAACCATACAATTCAATAACAGAAAGTCATCTAGTGTCTGTCTTTTTCACATTGATTGGCCAACTTATTATAGGAACCTCAAAAAACAATAAACACAACAACTAGTAATTATCGCATTTGACAGGGAAACATGCATCTCTTTGCACATCTCGTTATTGAGTTTCCACTTAAAAGTAGGGACTTGTTTACAGATCAAAGCCATTTTTTCCATAACTTAAAAGATATTCCTGGATAATTTAATTTATTACACCTTCACCTCAGGTTTATCACATGTAGACACAATCTTATTATGTACCAGATATTAATTTAATAAAAAATCAAACACTTCTCAATCACTTGGGAACAAGAATTATGCAACTCCTGGGCAATTTTATTTCGCCTTTTTAAAAGAAAGGAAGTTTAACTGAAAAGAGTAATCACTTTTCAAGGAAATATTTAGAAAGAAATAGATGATAGTTCAACATAAAAACAAAAATGACAACATTTAGACAAGTTGTCGCCTTGGGCAGATGTATATAAAGTAACAATTATATAGACCTTTACAAGCTTAAGAAAACTTCAAAACCACACAAGACTTAAATAGGATTTCTGACCTATATAAAAGCACAAGCACAAAGTGTTATCCGGACGAGACTCTACTGGAGTGTAATTTTCCTTAATTCTCCAACAAACAAACAGAAACTCCAGTCATTAGGTAACCAGAGTATTTCTTTGAGACCAAAACATTACCAACACCACACCAATTTAATTTACCATATTCAAACTTCCCAATTTAAACAGATATTACACATTTTGGAATATCTGGGCAGTACATTCTCTGAACATTTCCTATTTCCATTTTGAAAAATAATCAGAGAAACACATTGAAACCAAAAGGTTTGTTCCTTTCAAAGAGGAATGTATTCGGCATATGTTGATATGCCTTACAGCTAAAGGACTAAGCACTTTAAATTGTGAACAGTATTCATGACTAATTGCACAAAGAATTGGAAAATAACTGACAAAGCAATAGAAATCACTGCATCCATGTGCTTTTTGGTGGAACCTAGAACTGAGATGTCCAACAAAGTTAAATTTTAGGGTAAATTACATAAAACCCCCCTATGGTCTTGCATAATGCCAGATGACCCCCTCCCCCAACAAAAAAAGGTTTCAAAATAGCAGCATAACCCCCTTGTGATTTTTTGTAAAGTGGAAAATGGACGGAATGCATAATAACCCCCTTGTGATTTTTTGTAAAGTGGAAAATGGACAGAATGCATAATCAATTATGGAGATTAGACCACACGTGCTGTAAAAGTGCATCTAATGAAATCATAATAACGACTTAACACCCCATATGGTTAGCATAAATATTCACTTTACCCCCTATGGTTTTTGCATTTATCCACATAATCCCCTAATGATTTTGTACAAGGTGGCTAAGTTGTGCTTTGATTTAGCATTTAAGTAAGGAAACTACCCGTATTTCAACTAATAACATTACATAAACTATTTTCTGTTAAATTTTCAGTTTACACAAAACCATGGGGGGTGAAGTGAATAATTTGAAACTTAGGGGATTATGTGGCAATAGATGAAACCACAGGGGGTTATTAGTAATTTACCCTAAATTTTGTTAAAAATTTTCACCTCTGAATTCGAAGAATTGAATGTCACCCGTTAACCTACTGAAAAATGGTAGTGTCAAATCTGGAAATAAATTGTTCACATATTGCACCCTCCTACAAAAGAAATCAAAGTTCTTCCTAACATCAAGCATATTAATCTACAGCATATAATTGTTGAGCCAACTAGAAGAACCTATTCAACTTGTCCATCAAGATTTTTAGATGATTCTTGTTTATTTTGATTTTATCATGCAATGCTATTATCTGGTTAAAACTCTTTAGAAGAAAGAAAACTGTGGACTATGAAAACCAAAAACATACAAGAAAGGAAAGAAAAAACTCTCAAAGATGCAAGTGTATACCGAGCATTACAGCCTCAAAATCAATGAAGGAAAGAATCAAGCAAGTTATAAAAATGAAGCCACAGTGCTTTAGACTTGGGTACTGTATTTCTTGAAGAACTAATGACACTCGCTCTCAGTTGGATTCTTGTAATGTAAGTCCAGCTTTTTGTTGATAAACAAAGATTAGTTCACCAAAAACCAGATGATTGTTGAATTCAGAAGCCCTTAGTCATCAAACATAATATTGTTGCTGTCACTGCTTACTGACACTTCCCAAATACGGCTTAGTGTATGTGAGCATTGCTGGTGCTCGATAGGACTGGTTAATAATAGCAAGAATAAATTAAAATACCTTATTGTCACCATGAAAGATAAAATAAGAAAGCGAGGAATCGACATCTTAAGAAAAGAACACTCTAGAGAACAAGAAGCAAAAGCTTTATCATCCTGCTTATATATCTACAAAAAACGTATTAGCTAGGGAAACCTTGCAACTCAACTTGCCAAGACTTTTAAGATAGGAAAATAGTGTAAAGGGCAAATATAGTACTAGTCTATCATCTTTAGATCAAGAAAGTTACTGTTACAAGATATCAAGAAGAAACTAAAAGAAGATTAAACTTAGGTGACATTAAAAAGAGATTTCACAGTTTGAAATTGGCAGTTTCATTTGTCCACTCAGAAAATGAATCTTCAGAAAGAAACAGAAGTAACTGAGAACATGGCCAAATTATAACACTCATACATTCTCTTCCTTTCTGCTCCCTACTCTTAAAGGGTGTTAGGAAGGAAAACTATTTGGACTACGGATTTAAACATCTTCTTGCAGGTTTCCACCCAAAATTTTTATGAAGCAAACTCTAATATATAATAGCCCTGCTATTTGAAGGGAAATAAATTCAGGTATATGAAACAAAATGGACATTTAGAGTAACTAATACAATTTGCACAATTGAACTGATGATGGATTTTCTTTTCCAACCACTGTGATAAAGACTAAAGAATAGGTATTTGGGAGACAAAGTAATATACAAGTTGAAGAACTCAGACTGGATATTAAAATAAACAGCTGAGCACTAAGACATGGGGAAAAATTTTAATTAATACTTGTTCGGGCCAGGGGCAGGAGGAATCAGGAGTGGTTGAGGAAGGGGACCATGAGGAGTTTCAGAAAAATCTTCAAAATTCTTAGCACAGGGTCAGCGTACATATGTTTTGGCTATGTCTTCCGTTATGTCTTGTAAGTAACATTATGCAACCCCCAGGAAATTTTATTTAATCCTTTCAAAAGAAAGGACAGTTTTAACAGTAAAGAATAACAATTTGTCAATGATATACTAAAAAATAAACATGTACGATCGTTAAACACAAAACCAAAAGGAAAATGTTTTCTAGAGTTGGCACCTTGGGCAGAGGGATATAACATTACAATAGTACAGATCTTTTTAAACATAAGAAAACTTGAATGCCTCAAAAAGTTATTATTTGCAAAAACAGCTAAATGAAAGCACAAGCGTAAAGTGTTGTTCTGAAAAGGCTTCCCATTGAGTTCAGTTTTTCCTTATGTTTTCTTTTCCTTAATTCTTCCAAGTAACAAAGACACAGTCATTTAGTAAGCAGAGGATTTTTCTTAAGATTTCACCATCACCAACCCCATACCAATATTTATCTTCTCCTATTTACACTTTCAGTTGAACCAGAAGTTATGTGTTCTGAACAGTCGGAGATTATGTTCTCTAAACATTTCCCATTTCCATTTGAGGAAATGGACAGTAAAGACATTTAAATCAACAAGTATTTCTTCTTTTCAAAGACAAACATATACTGCAACATGTCTAATTTCTCAAGAACTAAGAACCTTTCGTTATTTTTTTCCTTAAATTATTCATGATTATTGCCGAAGATATGAAAAGTAAGCAACAGAAATCTCAGTATCAAGGTGCCTTTTTGTAGACCCTAGAACACCAAGGTCAAAGTCAAACAAGCACATTAAATTTTAAGCCATTTAAAATCATAATCTATGAAGGACTGGATTTCACCGGTTAACCTACTGAAGATTGAAAAATGAACTTAATTTTCTTTCTGACACGAAAGTGTCAAATCTGAAATTAAATGGTTCACTGATAGCACCCTTCTGCAATAGAAATGAAAGTTCTACCTATACCGCATCAAACATGTCAACCTGCATCACATAACTTGTTAAACCAACTGAAAGATTCTATTGAATTTGTCTATCAAGAACTTTTTTTTTTTTTTAGCGACTATCAAGATGTAGGAGGATTTTCAAGATAATTGAAGAATCTGAAGAATCCACTGATGGGAATTTCATCACAGCTATTGAAAACTTCCCTGGTGGCAGTGAGACATCATAATCAAATTCTGTTATGGTGGGCAGGTGGAATTTACAGCAAGATACATAGTAATAGTATGTTGTGTAACGGACTACCTTGAATAACAGATGAGTATGGAAAGATAACTTATTGTCAAACTCAGAAGGTTTCTTCCACAATTATGTTCTAAAGAACTGGAAGGATTACCAGTTGGCTCTCCAAAGTTGTGAACCAGTAATATCTATCAAAAACTTTAGAAGCATTTTGGTTATATCTTCCTAATAAGATGCAAAGCTATTGTCTAATTAAACATTTTGCAGAAGAAATGAACACCCCAAACTATGAAAACAAAAATGTACTAGAAAGGAAATGGAAAAATCTCACAATTGAGTGTCGCAACATCAAAATGAATGAAGGAAATAATCAAGCAGGTCTTAAATATGAAGCCACAGTGCTTCAGATTTGGGTACCACATCTCTTGAAAGAACTAAGAGCCTTCTAAGGTAAGTCCCTATTTTTTCAGTAAACAAACTTTAATTCACCAACAACCTAATGGTTGCTGAATTCAGAAGCCCTTAGTCCTGATGCATTGTATTGTTGCTGTTAGTGCATACTAATACTTCCAAATATAGCTCAATGCATGCAGGTATTGCTGGGAATGGTTGATAGAAAACAGCTAGAACAAATTGGAAAAGACTGTGTCCTGACAAAAGACACAGAGAGAGTGACGAATCAACATCTGTAGGAAAAGAAAACTTTAAAAAGGATAAGCAAAGGCCTTTATCATTCTGCTCAATATCTGTAGAAAAAAGTATTAACTAAGGAACCTTGCAACTGTTTTTTAAGTAAAACCAAGACAGAGGCAGACCAGTGTAAAAGACGACATTGTGTAAGAGTACATTGTTCTTAGATAAATGAAATTATACGTATTATTTTGCTTCTAAGTTTGATCCTTATACAGAAAAGTATCTCTGCACTTAGTTTGCTTACCATCAGAAGACGTAATAGATAGCTACAAATAGCTTTGACACTAAAATAACAATTCAGTGTTTGAAATTGCCAATTTCTTTTGGCCAATTAGAAAATGGCTTTTCAAAAAGAAACAAAATAATTCACAATATGACCAAATTATAAGAGACAGGCACTCTGCTTTCTTCTTTCCTATTTCAAAATGGAAATAGGAAGAAACTTACATAAACAATGTACTAAAATATCTTTGTTGCAGGTTTCCATTGAATTTTTTAGAAGAAAAAGTCAAAAGAATTAATAGCCCTGCTAGTTCAAGAGCAAAAATTTCAGGTACACGAAAATAAATGAAAATATAAAGTAACCGGTACAAAGTTCCAAAATTGATCTGACTATAAATTTTCTTTTCCCAGCTCAGTGATGAAGAATAGAGAACAGACATTGATAGGTGACAAAGTAGCATACAAGTAAACAGTTAAAGACTACGAAGCAGGGGGAGCGCATTTAATTTAAAACTTGCTCAGGCCCCCCTGGGTTGGGGAGGTGGGTGTCGGCAAAGTTCAAAAATCTCTTGTTATGTCTTTGTCCTTAAGCAAAGATTTTTTACATGGACAATATATCATTCTTAAAAAAGAGAAAATCACACTGATATTTTTGTTTCTTACCTTGATCCTTATCCAAGAATGTATCTGGGGTTTCTTAGATTTGATACCACTAGAGGACATAAAGAAGAAACTAAAGAAAAAAAACTTAGCATTCACATTTAAAAAGAGCTTTCAGTGTTTGAATCTGGCAATTTTTTTTGTCCAGTTAGAAGATGAATCATCAAATAGAAACAAAGTAACTGAGTAGGGCTGCAAACGAACCGAGCCGAGTCGAGCTTTGGTCTTATCGAGTCGAGCTTTGACTTAATTTCATCGAACTCGAGCTCGAGCTCGACGAGCTGGCAATTTTTAAGCTCGGGTTCGAGCTCGAAAAAAATAAAAATAATTATTTTATTTTTAAAAAAAATAAATAAAATAATATTTTTTCTTAATAAATAATAAAATATTAAGGATATTTATGTAATTTTACTATTAAAATAAAAATAAAAATATATATTTATATATATATATATATTCGAGCTCGCGAGCCTAACGAGTTTAATGTTTTGAGCTCGAACTCGAATATATATATAGAAACAACCGAGTCGAGCCGAGCCGAGTCGAGCTTTGATCTTATCGAGTCGAGCTTTGACTTAATTTCATCGAACTCGAACTCGAGCTCGATGAGCTGGCAATTTTTAGGCTCGAGTTCGAGCTCGAAAAAAATAAAAATAATTATTTTATTTTAAAAAAAAAATAAAATAATATTTTTTCTTAATAAATAATAAAATATTAAGGATATTTATGTAATTTTACTATTAAAATAAAAATAAAAATATATATTTATATATATATATATATATATATTCGAGCTCGCGAGCCTAATGAGCTTAATGTTTTGAGCTCGAGCTCGAGCTCGATTTTGACTCGACCAGCTCGACCTCAACTCGAGCTCGATGGCTCGATTCGTTTGCAGCCCTATAACTGAAAAGATGACTGTATGATAAGGCATTCATATGCTCTTCCTTTCTGTTCAACCTTCTGAAAAGAAAGTAGTAATGAAAATTATTTGATCCATAAACTGAAATATCTTGTTGCAGGTTTCCATCTGAAATTTAATGAAGCTTAACTCTAATATCTAATAGCCCCATCAGTTTTGCAGGTTGTCATCTAGGTTTTGCAGGGAAACAAATTTCAGAGGTACATGAAGCCAAACGAAAATTTGGAGTAACTGATACAAATTTGCTATTGAACTGACTACAGATTTTCTTCTCTGAGAACAGTAATGAAGATTTAAAGACGGATTTTGATCGGAGACAAAGTAACATCTAAAATTAAAGAATTCAGACTGGATGTTACATTAAAAAGTTGAAGACTAAGACCTGGGAACTATAATTTAATTAAAACTTTTTGGTGGCTGGGAGAGCAGCTGGGAAGGAGGCCGTGAGGACTTTTCGGTAAATCTTTCAAAATTCTTAGCACAAGGTAGGCCTACATATGTCCTCAGCCACATCTTCCGTTACACATTCTGCCTTAGAACGGGGATCTAGGGCTAAAAAGCACCCCATATTCAGCCAAAGCTGTTCTTCACCCACCATAAACAAAATATCCAAAACTTAAACCTACCAAATCCAAACTATAATTGGCTTTCAAACGTCTCGCTTTACATTCGCTTAAGCTGGTCTTGCAAACCAACTTCTCAAAATGGTATTTTAGCTGTCGAAAAAGTCATGCTGTAATACCATGAAAAATAACTTAAGATTTTGACAAACGACAGCTTTCCTATATAATGGCGAACTTTAACCTATCCCAAACTCAATGCCCAGTGGAAATGAAATGATTGTTAAAATCATATCCAAAACCATAAACCATTACAGCTAATAAAGAAAAATATGTGATTTTCACATACAAATTAAACAGCATAATTAGGGAAATCAACAAAATTAGTACTGCTAATTACTTCCGTTACACGTTCTGCCTTAGAACGGGGATCTAGGGCTAAAATGCACCCAATATTCAGCCAAAGCTGTTCTTCACCCAACATAAACAAAATATCCAAAACTTAAACCTACCAATTCCAAACTATAATCGGCTTTCAAACGTCTCGCTTTACATTCGCTTAAGCTGGTCTTGCAAACCAACTTCTCAAAATGGTATTTAAGCTGTCGAAAAAGTAATGCTGTAATAACATGAAAAATAACTTAAGATTTTGACATACGACGGCTTTCCTATATAATGGCGAATTTTAACCTATCCCAAACTCAATGTCCAGTGGAAATGAAATGATTGTTAAAATCATATCCAAAACCATACACCATTACAGCTAACAAAGAAAAATTTGTGATTTTCACATACAAATTAAGCAGCATAATTAGGGAAATCAACAAAATTAGTACTGCTAATTACCTTCCACTATAACCCATCAATAATCATCGGCTAAACAATGCACTGTAGGAATAATTATCAAAGCATACACTCCACCCTAAGGTTTATCAAGCCTATTAACATTTCTCGTTGATTCTAAAATATAATGCAAAAATTAGAAAGGGAAAAAAATTTTTAAAAAAATTAAGAAAAAGGAGGATTTCCAACCAATGGTCATTAATTAATCAGTAATTAAGTATAAAGATTGAATTATGGGTGTACCTGAGCAAGAGATTCGACGGCGGGAGCGATCAAACGGCAGGGGCCGCACCACGTGGCAACGAATTCGACAAGGACAGGAGTACTGGACTTCAAAACGACGTCGGAGAACTCACTCTCTTTAATCTCCTGTACCTTACCGCAAATTATCCTCATTGAAGATGAGAGTGAGGATGACGACGTCGTCTTGCTGCAGCTTCTGCTGCCGCGGACTGAAGCTGAAAGATGACCGTTAGCACTGATAGAAGAAGAGGAAGAATACGAAGCAAAACGACGTAGTTTCCACAAGTTTCCAACTGTACGGATTGGAGGGAGAGGGAAAGTGTAGGGGAGTCTATAACTGGAGCAAAACGACGCAGCTTCCATGGCTGAAAAAAATGTGAATCAGCTTCTTCTGATTTTGGAGAGAGCTCGAGGATACGTGGGGGCGTATTTTAGTTGAAGAGAATATGACATGGTGTTGGCGGTTTTACAATTAAGGATAGTATTTACTTGAAAGTTTTCCATGACGTGGATCTAATTGATTGGAAAGGGCCATGTTAAGAGGTGAACGGGTGTGTGCTAAGCGTGGAGGTACAGATATGAATGCGTGGCTGTTATGGGCTTACGTGGACTCAGAGATTGTACGGTGGCATGAGCAGAAATTTTAAGCAGCAGTTTCAGTCAGAGTGGATAATTTCAGAAACTTCCCTTGAAGTTTCTGACAGTTTCACTTAGCACCCTTAAAATTTTAAACATAATCAGTTGCCTCCCCTATTTTTAAATTATTGTAACATTTTTAACCCAATTCAAATTATATAATTAAAATACTATCTTAAGGAAAGAGAAGTTATTTCCTTCCAAAGTTACCCTTTAAATTTAAAATTCTTTGACATTTAAAAACTTGTGGAATGTATTGTCTAATGAAAAATTATAAGGTTGGGGTTGAGAAATCCTTTAACTAATCTTATCAATAATTTGGAGACAAAATTTAAAGTTGACAAATTATAAAAATTAACAATACATGTAAAAACTATTTGAAATATTGTAAAGAAGAAGAAAATAACTTTTTTTCACCTCCTAAACATCTCAAATAAGTTTTAAATGTATATTTTAAACGTTTTTTCCTTTTCTAAATTTTCATACCATCAATCAAGATAAACAAAAATTAAAGATTCTAAATAATTTATTAAATTTATTAAATTTTTTCAATGCATTTTATGTAAAAAGAAAGATTTTTCTCGTCTAGTAATCTAAAGGCACACAATAATAAGTATATGGATAAATGAAGGTAGGCCCAATATTAAAGTTTTAAAATCATAGATAAACCCCCATATTGCAACACTTTTGCAGCAGAAATCTATGCTTTTACCAAAAAAAATAATAACAATAATATTGGATTTATTTCTAATTATATGACCTTATAGTTTCCCAAATAGACAAACCCTAAAGGAAAAAAATTCTTTTGTAAGCTGAAAACATGTTAAATATAATTTTATTATTTTTGTACTTTAAAAAATCATATTGCTTATGATTGTAGTTACTGTATTTTGTCCCTTTGAAAAAAAGTACATATCATGGTTTTTGTCCTTATTTTTAGCATTTGACTATTATACTTACAATCTAAAAAAAAAAAAATGTAAGAGAACAAAAGCGCGTTGTTGGAAAGAAATTATTCTCTCCTTCCTAAAATGAGTACTTTAATCATATAATTTGAATTGGGTTGAGAATGTTACAAAATATAAAAAGGGGAAGGCAAGTGATAGTTTAAAATTTTTAAGAGAACTAAGTGAATTTCACTCAGGGAAGGTTTCTAAAATTATCCCCTTCATTATCTATCCCAAGTAGAGTTGATAAAGGAATAAGTTGTTCGTGGGATTTGCGGCTTCAGATCCTCTGTCCCCAAAATAGTCTCTGTCCCCTCTATCTCTTTGTTGTACAGCTGCCACGTGTCTCTAGTCTTTTGTTAACCCAAACTCAAATGAACCAATAATAATCGGTTTATAAGTTTTGTTAATCCAAATTCAGAGAACCAAATTCCAATTCATAATTCCAATATCTAGTACGAATACCCGTGCTACGCACGGTATTGACATTATTGAAAAAAAATGAAAATAAAATGGTGAATAAACAAGATTAAAAAATTGTACCAATATAATTAAAATGTAATATCTGTCTAACAATAGTTTGAAATATGATAGAATGTGATTTTGATTTTTTGAAAATCAAATTCCAAAATCATCTGCTGGATAAAAATAAGAGAATAGTAATAAAATTTCAACCACTCTTACTAAGTACACCTAAAAACCCTGCTAATACTTGAATAACCATGGTCTATCATGTTGGTTTGTAATATCAAATCCTTGCCTATTCACAATTCAAAACTTTTAAAGATGGTTGGTTTGTTTGAATTTGGGTTAACAAAACTTATAAACCGATTATTATCGGTTTATTTGAGTTTGGATTAACAAAAGACTAGAAACACATGACAACTGTACAACAAAGGGACAGAGAGGACAGAAACTATTTTGGGACAGAGGATCTGAAGCCGGAATTTGCTCAACGGGATGGTATAAGCTGGAGTTCAACTCTTTCATTTAATTTACATGAAATTAGCCACGTTTTCGAGAACAGTACTCCAATCATGATAATGTAGAAAACAGTAGCTATTGTAAAACTAATAAACTAAATGGAGATATTAGAGAAATAAGTAGAGAAATAGAGAGTGATTTTCTTGTATTCCAATAAAATAAAAAAGTCTTTCCCAAAGGGTGTCAATGTACCTCTATATATAGGTACTACAAGATTAAAGGTACATTAATTCTATTAAACACCCACTACTACAAGAATATGAAGAACTTATGAAACGGTTCTTCCACTACATGAATAGATTTATGGATTGTAACTTCTATACATAATGTAGCCATAAATCAAGAATTAATCCTCTTGGGAATACAAAGGGACATCCATACTTTTAATTGTTTCATAACACTCCCCATTGGATGTCCATTACACAAAGAATATGTCTCGTTAAAACCTTACCAAGGAAAAACCTATCGGGACAAAAACCCTAGTGAAGGAAAAAGAGTACACTATTCTTGTATATTAATTTCTCCCCCTGATGCAAACATTATTTGAGATCTTTTAATCGTTGTATTCCAATATTCTTCGCCAATCGCACTAAGATATGGTACTTTAGGACCAAGTAACTCTTCATCTTCCTTTCGCGATCTAAAAGGATCCTTATTAGGATCTAATGATCTGACGATCATTGGAATATTTAATATATGTGTCTTATTCATATAAAATCGCTTTAATACCTTCCGGGTATATGCAGTTTGGTGGATAAAAAATTCGCTTTTCAAATGCTCAATTTGTAAATCAAGGTAGAATTTTGTTTTTCCAAAATTCTTGATCTCAAAATCCTTCTTCAAATATTCAACATTATTTTGAATTTTTTCAGGAGTTCCAATCAAATTTAGATCATCAACATATACAGCAATTATCACAAAATTTGTTCCATTTTTCTTGATAAAAACACATGGACATATTTGACCATTGGTATAACCTTCGTTAGTTAGACATTCATTGAGGTGGTTATACCACATACGTCCAGATTGTTTGAGATCATACAAAGACCTTTGTAATTTAATAGAATAAATATCTTTAGAATTTGATTTGCATGCTTCAGGCATGTTGAATCCTTCGGGGATTCTCATATAAATATCATTTTCAAGATTTCCATATAAATATGCAGTAACGACGTCCATTAGACGCATATCTAATTTTTCATGTACTGCAAAACTCATAAGATATCTAAATGTGATAGCATCCACTACAGGTGAATACGTTTCATCATAATCAAATTCAGGCCTTTGTGAAAATCTTTAAGCTATTAGTTTTACACCTTTAGGTGTTTGGACTACAAGTCCAAAAACTTTTCTTTTAATCAGTGAGTCTAATTCAGATTGGATCGCATCTTTCCACTTTAACCAATCATTTCTATACCGACATTCATCAACCGATCTAGATTCATGATTCTCATCAATTTCTATAATATCAAGTGCTACATTTCATTAGGTTCCAATTAAATTTTCTATGATTTCGTTCTCTTCAGGAGTTGGCTCTTCAGGAGCGATCTCTTCAAGAGGTTGAATTTTGTCATGACATTTAATCTCCGGAGATATTTGAAATCAATTTATACCTTATTTAGGTAGGCCGGTCTTAAATTTATTTGTAGCACTTGTGCATATCCTTCAGGGATATCAATTTTAATCAAGGTATTTCTTGCAGGAATAATTGATTTAATAACTCTTCTGGAGTCGATAATATATCTGACAACTGGTTTGCAGTTTTCTGCAAATGAATAATTTCTTGAACTTCCAGTTCACGTTATTTTGTATGAGGATTGAGGAAATCCAATTTTTCAGGTGATTTCCTTTCGGTTGATTTCTTCCTCCCCCTAATGTAGAGGAATCGTAACTCATCAGAATAAATAAATCATTTAATAGATCACCCACCAAATATTTTACGATATTTAATCGTAAAAAGTGATTCATACCCGACATAAATTCTAAATTTCTTTTGGAGCCATATATAATATAAAGGTGGTATGTATAAATACTTGTCGGCTCTCAAATATTTTCACTTTCGTCAAATCATGTATTCATTGGGATCAGTAAACTTCTGGTTTACTGCAGATGATGATTATAAATCAAATGAGAATGAAGACAACTATATCGATAATCATTTCTCTCTCGAATGATTATTATAATATAATTAACATTTATCTTACTTGATTTCTAAACATGATCTCAATTATTGTCTCATTTAGTGTCTCAATTTGATATCCATTTCAACGGATATTCAAATTCAATAAATTTTTCGAGACATGATAAAATGTAGTACTTTATTCACGATAAACTTTTCTCCTACAGGGAGAAATATAGTAGTGGCTCTTCTGGAGTTTTCAATCACTTAAGCACTACCACTAATTGTGTTTGTTTCTTTTATTGAAAAATAGTGTATATAGTAGCACTTATTAATGAGACACATATCATTATCACCATAATTCTTATGGGACAAATATTATCACCATAATCTTTTGATCCCAAATGTTTAACATACATTTCTTCTTCAGGAAGAAAAGCTAATTAAATTAATCATCATACATCTTCAGGGTGTTTAAAGAAATTGGCCATGTGAAGATGATATTATAATTTTGATTCGTCAAATGTACTTCGGGGCATTTATCTTTAGAACCTTTATTTTCTTGTCCTTATCATTATTATCCCACTTCAAGTGGTAACTTTTTTTCTTTTGTCATGGTAAAATATATATTTACCAAAATCATAGTCATGGCAGCAACCATAACTAAAAATTGAAATTTAGTCGCATTCACTTCTGAGAATGGACTAGAACTAGTATGCAATAAGTACAAAATACGGCTCAAATTTTCTCTCAATATTGCTACTACAAGAGCATATTTGAGAAATA